ACATAGATGTGAACCCCTATGAGTTTACCGGGAAAGTAACCCCCCGGATTCTTGCCGGGCTCCTGGGCAAAGATTTGGAAAAAAGCTGAAAGGCTGATGAGGAGATCTCAAATCCACAGTGTAAAAGAAGTATGAGAAAACCCTCCACGCTTGACCTTGAGTACCACATGCCTCAAAATGCAGTAGAATAGGTGGTGTAAGTGTCTCACGTCTGGGTGTTAAACAGCTTAATATTAACTTGCAAAAATTAATATGTAATCACAAAAGAAAACGTGCAAGTGTGTGGTGCACCAGATACAGAAAACCTGTGGTGTCTTGTGCTCCCATTTGTTTTACTTTTCATTCATTACCACCCGGTGAATAAGCATGGTGCATATTCCTCCTGCAATTGCTTTTTAAATGTCATAATATCTCCATTCGTAATACATAAAACTAGTAGCTTTGGTTTCTGAGTGGAGTAGAGGTGGAAGGCTGGTTATACATTAGAAAGTCTGTTGCCAGAGAAGTTGGAAAGGTACAAAGAGGGGGGAGATAAAATTGAGTATTGATTAACTGTCCTGAGGGGAAAGAAAGATACTGTGGTTTCAGAGTAGTCAGTACTGCTGCTGTACTGAGAGGTCCTACATTTCCTCACATCTCAAAAAATGACTTTTCAAAGAGTTGTGATGAATTTCCACCTGTGGCTTGCTGCTTGGCTCTGTGGATGGGGCAGTCGAGAGCAGGATCAGATGGCTTGGAGAAGAAGGGGGCTGCCTGCAGCAGCAGTTCTGGTCTATGCTGACCTAAAGGAGTTAGGAAGATGCAGTGTGGTAGAGTAGCAGGTGTGAGCCATTGACAAAAACCTATTTCTGTAATATTTTGTCTTCAGCAATGTAGATATGTCAAAATAGAACATGAAAATAAATACCAAGCTTCACTGTTCATGAACACTTACACTGGTGTCGTCTCCTGACATTGCCTTTGGAAGCATAAGGAGCCGTACTAGGACGTTCTTACAGCCTTTGTGTTGCATATACTGTAGCACTTCTGAAAAGCCAGGCTTTGATACTGCCATTTTGTGGGTCAGTTTCTTGGATAAATAACACAGGATTTAAAGTTGCAAGTGGAAGCAAACTTGCTCTATTTTTTCCTATTACTAGTGTTTACATATATGACCCTCTAAGAGCATTTACATTGAAAGAAGATAAGCATGAACAGGTTAAGGTTTTAAGTCAGGTGTGTGTAGGCTCCCAAGCAGTCACCAAGTTACATTATGATTGGAGCAGTAAAAAAGAGATGGGAAAAAGTGCAATTGCCTTTTTGTAACTGTCTGTAATTTTATTTTATTTTATTTTATTTTGCTTTACCTTTCAGGAAGGAAACCTCATCTCCTTCCTTGGGGAAAGACAGAGCAGACACAGTGATCATCGGTGGTGGTTGTGTTGGTGTGAGTCTAGCCTATCACTTGGCTAAGGCTGGCTTGAGAGATGTTGTTCTGCTGGAAAAATCTGAGCTCACTGCAGGATCTACTTGGCATGCAGTAAGAAATGTTTTGTTAGTCTCTCAGATTAAGAACAGGTTGTGTATGTAACGATGGTGGAAATCTCAGTACCTTTTTATTCTGTGGTTGTCTTCCCTGTCACCACTGACATTACATGAAATCTTGGAGGAGTGAAGGTAATGGCTGTACACTGCAAGGCTTTTTAAGGCTGAATGCTTTTCTGTATGCTAAAGAAAAGAGCTAAAACGACATATCTGTAATAATGTTAGGGTGGGGATACCTCCTGTGATATTCTAACCATGGACACACTGGTGCACAACATCCATGTATGTATTCACGTGTTTTCTACACCAATGTCTGCAGTAGGTAGTGTAATGAAATAAAATGAAACTTGCCACAATAATAGATGCTTTTTGCATTCATTTCCAGCTATGCTTAGCTGAAACTGGGAGATTGTTATCCCTGTGTGTAGCAATGCAAAAGGGCAGAAACAGTTCAATGTCTGTAGAAGAACTGCTGTGTAACTACAATAGAACACTTACGCAATGCTTTTAACTATAGCATTTGAGTGCCTTTCAGGAACAATATAAGGAGGATGTCTCAGATGTATTATGTTTTATTTGTATTCTTACACTTCTCCCAGGGGAAGAAATCTGAGGTCTGAAATGCTTCGTGTTAGTTTTGTGTTTGGGGCCTTATGAGAGAACAACAGTAAAAAAATAGAGCAAACAATGAAAATAAAATAGTAAACAATAGTAGAAACAAGTAAAAAAATCACTGCTTGAAATGTGTAAGTAGGCTCATACTTAATTTTACTTACTTTTCAACAAACAAAGCAAAAGAAACACATTGTATGTAGTTAGGAGAAACAAAGTTCAGTAATTTTGTGCCTTTTAGACAGTCATACATGTCATGCAGAGCAACACCATGCAGAGTGTTAGATCATGTGTCTTGTGTATTGAATCACAACTATGAAATGCTCAAAGAGTACTTGGAATTAAGTACAGGAGTGAGGCACAGACTGAATTCTATTTGCCCAATACATATACAAAACAAAATGTCTGTAAACAACAATTAAATTCCCCTAACTGAATAAGAAAGCAAAATCACAAATGTTGTTACTGAAGGTTTCCTTTGTTATACTCACTCACCTTAGTTTATTGCTCATAGCTGTGTTAAAGCAACCTCTCCTTCAGTACTTTTGCCCACACTTAGTGAGTGCAGCACTGGAGCACTGAGTGAGGAACTCAGTTTCCAAGGTGGAGGGAGAGCTGGAGCTCAGCAGAGAAAATACCTGCACTCCCACAGTTGAGAGGGTGGCCATTGCCACTGAATTTGATGTGATTAACGCAGTAAGACACCTGGTTATGACACAGGTTAAAATGGATAGCTGTTAGAAAAACTGCATGGTACACTGTCTTTTCATTGAACTCAATATTAGAGGGCTCTGTCTGAAGATGAAAATTTGATAATAAATCCGTTTCAGATGATGAGAAAGATCAAAACTGTGACTGTGAGTTCCTTGTTGCACTAGGTACATTGATCAGTGTTTTCCTCACAGTGATACAGCACTAGATAGAGATGAAAATGGCATGTACTGTTAGCACATGAAATGGCACACAGCATGTTGCCTGCAGCCACAAATGTTGGAAGTCTGGTTCAGATGTTGCTGCATGATAACACATTTTACCTCTTTCACGGTCTGGTAAGTCCTGCCAGAGATCAGGGTCACGTTTCAGATAGATCATATTCCTGCTAGTGGTGCTGCCAAAACTTTCTTCCACTTCTCAGGTCTGAGATAAGTCTGGCTGACTTTCATGCGTGTTACTGAAACAGCACAGCAAGTATGCACATTTTTATGTTACCAGTTAAAAAGAGGTAATAATAACAGAGCAAGTGCTGCTCGTTTTAATGTAGCCATGACAAAGTGGTGGTTATTGTATGCTATATTATACTTTTCCTTGCAACATGCAATTGATTTTACTGCTCACAGTAAAGCACAGTACAAGGTAAATAATAACTTGTTACAATTTGGTCAAAAAATGCTAACTTAATAATGCCCTTAGAATAAAATCTGAAACTGATTGGAATAGAACAAAACTGACACAAAAACATTTTGACATGCAAAGATTTCAGCCATAAAAATGCTTTAAAATATTCGTCAATTCTCATAGCTAAGTGTCATTCTTAAAACTGTTTTCCCAGATCATGTTTACATACAATAACAAAATCTCTTTTCTTAGAAAAATAGTGCAAAGCCTAGAGAAAATCTGTTTCAAATACAAAAATAGTTCACTCTGAAACTGACGAGGACAAGTAGACGCGTTGGGAGTCCAGCTGGGCCAGACAGGCAGGGAACTCATGACTGAGTTACTGAGCAAAACACAGGATACCAGAGATAGAAGCAGGAAAAAGCTGCAAATGGGGCAAATTAGAGGAATCACCTGAGCATGTGATGGGGATGTTAGGAAAGTTGCTAACATTCTACTATTACAAGATGTTCCTTGTAAGGAGCATTACAGGCAGCAAGAACTGCTTCTGCTGCTGCATTAGTAGTCCAAGTCTGAAAAACAAAAGTGCATGGCTGTTGCTGAATGAGGTAATTTAGTCACAGTGTTCACTGATACGGCTGAAGTACTCAGCACCCTCTTGCCTGAACTTCCTCTGACAGGGTTTCTCAGGCTTCTGCATTGCAGAAGAGGAACTACCAGCAGTGGGTGAGCACCAAACCAGGGATTGCTGAGAGAACTTGATGTGCACATGCATTGGACCAGACAGGCTGCAGCCAACATTGCTGCTGCTGACATTTAAAGGCTTCAGATGTGTCAGCTTTGAAGGACTGTGGAGATTGGTAGATGTGCCTGACATTTGGAGAAGGGCCTATGTATGCATCTTTTAAAAAAGCCGAAGAGCTGAGCAGAGGAGCTAAAGACCAGCTAGACATAATTTGGTTCTTGGAGAAATCATCAAGTGGCACATAAAGGAGAAAAACTGTGATTTGGAACTGGACAGATTTGCCAAGAATAAATCATGTCTGATCAAACCTGATTGCCTTCTATTCTGAAATGACTGAATTCACGGGCAAGGGGAGGAGAGTTGATGTCACTTACGTAGATTTTAGCAAGGCTTTAGATGCCATCTCCCATAACATTCATGTATTCAACTGAAGGTGCTATGGCTGGACAACTAGATAGTTAAAAGACTGCTTGGATGGCTGGGCTCAGAGCATAGTGGTTAATGGGTCTTGCTCTACCCAAAGCCTGGAGATGAGTGTAGTGTCATAGAAGTCTGTGGTGGGACCAATCCTGTTTAACATCTTTGTCAATTATCTGGAATAGGTGATGAAGCACAAGATGTACATGAAGTACACAGACTTGAAGCTGGTCAGATTTGCAGCTGACACCAAACTGGGAGGACCAGTCAATGCACTCAAAGGCAGTGCTGCCATGCTGAGGGTCCTAGACAGGCCGGAAGGATGAAGGGAAAAGGAACTTTATGGAATTTAACAAAGGCAAATGCAACGTTCCATACTTAGCCAGGAGAGTAGTGCGTAGTGCAGCCTCTGTTCTTGGAGATTTTCAAAGGCTAAGCTGAAGAAAATCTTGAGCAACCTGGCCTGGTCTTGTAGGTGACCCTGGTTTGAATAGGCAGTTAAATAGAGAGCTCCTGAGGTCACATTCAATCTGCTTATTTCATTATCATTAATTTATGACCTGAATTTTTATAGAGTGCAGTCAGGTTATAGTTGTCTCCCCACTGCACTCCTGAAATCAGAAACATTTGTTATCCGAAGCCAAAAGGCATCAAAAGTGTTTAAAATTCTTTTCTTCACTTTAAAGTGTAGGACAGTGAAGTATCTATTTAATTCACGCAGTTAAATGTTCTTGAATATATATGGCTTTGTAGCTAACTTGCAAGTGATTTGTGGCTCATTTAGTTCAACATTACTGCACTAGTAATGACCACTAAAAGGGAATTTCCTTCCACCTGGAACATATATTAGTATGTTTGGGAAAATAACAGAAGACCAGGAAATGTTTGCATAAACAGAAGATAAAAATAATATGAGCTGACAAAGTTTGCAGGTAGAAGTAGATTAATTGCTCTTAGGCTACTGTACATGGCTAAATAAATGCAAACATTTCAATGGCTAATTTATTTCTTCATTCTGTATACACAGAAAAAAAAAGGTGCTTAGGACTTATATTTTAAGGAACAAACACGTTTTAATGACAAATTCTGCAGTGAAACAGCCCTGAGGTTTAGTCTAAAGTATTTAAATGTGTCCACAACAACATAAAAGCACGTGTAGCAAATGATATAAAACACATTTAATCAAATATCTTCAATTGTGTCCAGTATGATGATAATGATCTAATAAGATAATAAGGAAAGGACAAGTAATATTTTTTCCAGATTGTTAATTTACCCCAGGGACTTTATAAATCCAACACTTCTGCTTTGTGCTTTATGCGACCCTTGTTAGACTTATCTCCCTCCTGCAGGTTTGTGTGATCATGTTTTGAGTGCAGATGGTTGAGGCAATGAACAGTACCCAACATACTTAGGGAACTTGAGACAAATTTATGAGCAATACAGGTGTCCCTGCCCATGGCAAGGGATTGGGACTAGATGATCTGTAAGTTCCATTCCAACCCCTAAATTTTATGATTCTATGATATGACTCTATGATTAATTCTGCACTCTCTTCCACTGGATCATTTTGGCATTTCAGTTGTGTGTTACACTATGACATTGTATATAATCTAAGATATCAGAAAGACAGAATTCTCACAAATAAAGGTAGGAGAAGCTTTCAACACCATGGCTAGCATTAAGACATGCAATTAGTAATGCCAGACAGTAATGACACTCTTGCTCTGAAGATACTGAGTACCTGTCGTCTCAGGCAGTGAGTAAGATTTATGTTTCTTGACGGAAATGGTATCTGAATGTAAACTGTTTGCTAAGAGCAATTTGAAGCTAATTGTTTCTGAAGAAAAGATCCTGTCTTAAATGTGAAACTGCACCAAGAAACATGGGACAGAAGAGGCCATGGTTTAAAAAATGTGGATGCGTGACCTAATTCATGCAATGTGTGTTCATATTCATTACAGACAAGTGTAACAGTAGCTTCTTAGCATCACTAAATTAGTTTGAATTAAAATATGTCTTTAAAGACCACTAAATCTTGCTTTTGTTACTCATATGTTTACAGGTATTCCACTAGCTTTAAAAGTTTAAGCCTCAAAATATGCTGCACAGAACAGAGCTCACAAGTTAAAATCAAGAGTAGCTAATGTATGTGCATACTGGGCAACTCAGAAGGAAATTATCAGAACTCTAGTTTTTGTGTTATTTTTCACCTTTGAATTTCCTGCTGTCTTTTTTCTCAGGATGGCAGTGAACTCAAAGATGAGCTCCAGTGTCTAGCTCCCATAATGGAAGCAGCCTTAATCTCTGAACAAGCTCTATTTTAGTTGGCAAAAGAATGTGCTATGTATATAAAACATTTAGATCAGTGTAGTTATCTCGAAAGCCTAGGTAATTTTACATTTCTGTTGTCTCACTTGAAGAGTTCTAATGAGTTGACAAATTCAGGTCTTACAGAGACATATGCTTAACTTCAGTTACACTTGAGTTAAATGTTTTCAAGTGCCAAATGTCTGCAGTTACAAATGTCATTAGATTGATGCAGCTGTCTCTGCTATAGGCAGGCAAACAGTTCTTTCTAATACAGAAGAGTCTCTAGTAACTTCTTGATTTTACCTTTGTATGAACCCAAAAGAGCTTGACAGCCTTCTACAGCCAGACCTGGTACAGTGATGTGCAAAATGTATGCAATAATTTCTCAAACTACTTGTGAAATGCAGCATTTGCTCTTTAACTGCCACACGAGACAACTGTTGAAAACAGAGAAATATCAGTTTCCACTGCCCTGCTGTTCACACTCCAAGAATGTAATAACTCTTGTAAAGATCTGGTCTTTCAGAAGGTTTGGTTTCTCTCCCATCTCCATTTGCAAGAAAGAAAAGACCCTACTACTGGAAGTTTAGAGTTAGTAATTTGATTTAGTTCATCAGAAATGAAGTTTGTGAGTCTTTTCCAAAAGACCTGAAACAGTCAGCTGAATAATTTAAGTAAGAAAGGAAACCATAGAAGAGAACAACTGCGACAGTATCATGGGTCGACAAATTTGATGAGAAAAGACAGATGGAAAAACACCTGTGCAGAAAACAAGAATATCTTAAGCAGAGAAAGAATTTTTGTTTTATTTTTGTAGCAGTTGGCTCTATCCATGTGTTGTTTTTCTTTATAGTACCTTGAAAGTTCCTTTTGAAATGATAGTTGGAAGGAAGGAAAAAAACCCACTGCATTTCTAATTGTATCTCTGTTGTTGTTCCTATTTCTTATTTGAGGCTGGTTTAACTACTTACTTTCATCCTGGAATAAACCTGAAGAAAATCCATGCTTACAGCATCAAACTCTATGAGAACCTGGAAGAAGAGACTGGACAGGTAATCCCTTTAACCTTCAAAGTATTCAACATCTTACTTCTGTACTAATTGTCTTACAATAGAGTTTGCAGTTGTTACCACTGTGGGGTTGGACATGTCCCTTTTTTACTGAAGTATATTCTGCTTGCTTAGTCACTAAATATTTTAGATGATTTCCCAGATCCCTCTATAACTTAAGGAAATAAACACCTCTGGAGCTCAGCAGACCGAGCATGTGCAACTTTGGCTTAGTAGAGGAGCTA